ACCAAGATACTCATAACCCACTGATGTGAGACACAACTCAACACCCCTCCTCACGCCCAGGCCTCTGGAGCGTGAACAATATAAATGGGGGCCCAACATTGGTAACAATAATTGGGATGGGCCTGACTCTGATACCATGATAAGAATGGACCTTGGGCCTAACTCAACCCCAAAAACTAGCTTGTGAGGTGAGGATTGCCCAAGACCATATAAGGAGACCAAGATACCCATAACCCACCGATGTGGGACACAACTCAATATGGGAAAGAAAATAATATGGATTCTCGTATATCTATATGTTATTATCCTACTTGAATCTCGGAGTGCGTATAAATGCGCTAATAAAAATTATACCAAGTAACTATGTACACCTAAAATTAATTTAAACCTGAGAGCACTCAGAGTGCAGAAAATTATAATTATAAATGTTGGGAAATATTCTACCTTATAGACGCTGCAAAATTTCAATATGATGGTGGAATAAGTCGAAGCAACACATAAATATCACACAATTTAATTTATATCAATGATATAAGCACCGCCCAAATCAGTTGTCCAAGAACATAATCCAAATCGATATCAACAGAAAAAAGAAAGACAAAATATTCTATAATATAGCCTGCAAGCATTTTATTATTCAACATGAGAAGGTACTTCATCAAATTTAGAGAAAGCGGGACTAAATTGAATTCAACTTTAAACTGCATTAAATTTATTTAAATTTGATCGATTTATTTCTTTAATTTCGGAAGTAGACTTTATTTAGAAATCTATTTTTATTCTATTTACTAAAATATCGTATAGATTTATTTTAAGAATAGTGTAAGTAACATTTAACCTTTGTGCTTTTTTATAATCGGGTTTTCGTATCCTTCTGCAGTGAGAATTTTGATAATTTTAGAATTCGCTACCATATTATCGGCTTTCACTTTTTAAATCTCCAACTTAAAAATAAAACACATCTTTGCATGTAAAATCAATAGACACTGACGTATTATATGGTACAAACTTAAAGTTTTTGGCACTCTTCTTGAGGAAATTTACTGTGTAATAAAAAACAAACAACATTCTTGGCATTGACAAAAATTCAAAGTAATACTAAAAATTTTAATTTCAATATTCATAATAATATTTTGCATAGGAATATAATTAAGCTAATTGAAGAATCAACTTAATTCTAGAGAAAAAATTAAGCTAAAAATAAAAATTCCAGGAGCATCATAATGCTTGTCATGTTTTAATCTTTAGAAGAAAAAGATTCTCTTCCGCTTCCCTCATCTTGTAAAATACTGCATCATAATGTTAATTATGTTTTATTCTTGTGGACTTTTGAAAGAATCCTAATATGTTTGGCTAAAGGGTAGTCGGTATACATGTAGTATCTCAAACAGCCGAGAAACTGAATTTGATTAATATTAGAAGTCCATGAAAACCGGAGTATTAAGCATGGTTTAAAATATCAGTTTTACCCTACATGGTATTATTCGTCAATTAATATCCTAAAGATATTTTGGTAAACTAATATTATATTCATGCTTTTATAATAATATAGATTGACGTTAAAATTATCTTCGTGTGGCCTATAATCACGACTTTGAGCGGTTGAACTAACCACTAATACTTATATCACACCCTTCCTCGGATCATATGTGAATACGGGGTGTTTTGTGTGTGCATCGGGCTACCCTTTTTATGTGTTTTTTCTGGTTTCCCATTTGGCGTTCGGTATTCGCATTAGGGTCCGACTCCGAATTTATGTGAAGAAGTCCCACATGTGAATAAACCACTCCATAACAAAGAGGATTCCATATCTAAGACTCAAATTTAAAACCTCTAATTAAGGATGAACTAGTGCTTACTCCACGGCAAACAAGGCACATGCAAACTGTTGTTTGTACCATGTAGCAATAAAATGGTTGGCCTCTTCTTAGGTGGTTCTGTATTATTGAACAGTAATAGTTACTCTTTGTTGGGCTAACAGGTCTGCATATATCCATCAATCTTATTCGTGATTAATTGATGAATAATATTGACAAGATTCTTTATAACGTAAGATAGTGTTTGCAATTTTGCTGGATGATGCATATAGTTGTTTAAAGTTACTCCAGCTCTACTTTTCAAACATAGTAAATTAAGGTGATTGATTGAACGTAATATTTTTTTTTACCCCTCAAATTTAATGTTAATATGTTATTTTTCCCCCACTTAGTATGCTATATTTTGACTCGTATCTTTTTTATACTCGACCCTATTCTACAAGAGTAGTGACACACTGAGGCCTATCAACAACAAATTTAATGAATAATTAGGAAATTGAAAATTCTATATACAGATCTCTATATAATAACATCTCTATATAACAATCATTCACTATAAAAGTCAAATTTTTTCTTAGAACCGACTTTTAAAGTTACAATTTACCTCTCTATAACAACTTTTTACCTATAATAACAACAACAACCATATTTTATAGCAGAACGCTCTTTGTAAAATTACCCATCTATATTAACCATATAAAAACTTTAAGATTACTATAATAATTGTAAAATGCACACAATTTTTTCCAGAAAGTTCCTATCTTGCATAAATATAAAATTTGAAGATTTGCACATAATATCTTTTTCATTGGACAAATTCCAAAAAATATTCAAATAGAATATTTAACTGATTAGCTCTTAGATTGTCTTCAAGGAAAAGTTATTGGATACTTTTTTGCTGAAATTTTGGACACGAACATTCGCCAATTCAAGTGTTATATCGCAAATAAAAGAATGAAATCTATGAAACAAGCTACAATTATAAAGTTCTTTCATCAATCTTGAAAGAATTTATTTTTTGGGTAGCTTTAAAATGTCTGCCATAGAGTTTAAATCTTTATATGTTTAGTTATGAATTTATTAATAATTATTAGCTTTCTTCAAAATTTAACTAGTGAAATATGCATATCTTTTGAGATTTTAAATTTGAATAATTTTCTTATCTTTTATATGTAACATTAAAAAAGAAAAAATAATTGATTTTTGGATAATTTTTAGCTATAACAACCAAAAAATATTTAAACGTCAAATGTTATTATAACGGTATAACATCCATTCACTATAAAAACTAAAAAAATATCGGAACAAACGAGGCTGTTATAGAGAAGTTTAACCGTACATAGCAGCATCACTTGACTTAGCGTTCCTTTCAGTAAAAATGGCGTGTAGTAGCCACTACATAAGGTGGTGTTTATTTTTTATCCACCAATTCTAATGCTGAGTAAAAATAGCCACTACTCTATTAAAATTAATTTGAAAAGATATTTTTACCCTTTCTTCCATTTCTTTTCTTCCCAAACCCTCGCTTCTCTCTGTACAGAAGTGGCTGGCTATGTCTGCTTCTCTCTCAATCTCTTCTGTGCATTTTTTCTATCAGTAACACTCGCTCATAATTTCTCTTCTCTCAAACACCAATTTTACTACAAATTCAATTAAGCATTCACTCAAACATATAATCTGCATACCAGTTTTGTCTTCTCCGTTGTAAATACAGAATTAGTTTCTCAAAACAAAAGTTATTCTCTATTTCCAAAAACCAAAACACTGAAACAAGTATTGAATTGTAAATGAAGCATTTGGGCCAGTTCACAATAAAGTAAGACAATTAATTTGGAAGGAGAAGTAAATTTACTTATAGAAAAACACATTCCATATTAAATCGTCTTCCTAAAGGAGGACATATTTAAGTAGAAATTAAAAGAAACTCGATTAAGATATGGCAACATAAATAGGAATTTGTTCAATTTCCTTTCCACGAGAGAGAAGGAATCTTAGAGTAAACTTACAACTTCGATTTCACTGGAGAAGAGTACGCATACAAGTTTGATGGCGGAGGGGGAGAAGTGACATCCTGAACTTAGAGTTCCAAGTTCAAAAGTTAAGGACATGTAGTCCTGAAGTCCTAAAGTTAAATTCAAAAGTTAAGGACAATAGGTACTAAAGTCCTGAACTTCGAATAACAAGCTCAAAAGTTAAGGACAATAGGTCCTGAACTTAGGCCTGAACTTAGGCTAAGAAGCCCAAAAGTTAAGGACAATAAGTCCTGAACTTACAATTACAAGTTCAAAAGTTAAGGACAATAAGTCCTGAACTTACAATTACAAGTTCAAAAGTTAAGGACAATAGGTCTTGAAGTCCCGAACTTAGACTAACAAGCTCAAAAGTTAAGGACAATAGGTCCTGAACTTAGGCTAAGAAGCCCAAAAGTTAAGGACAATAAGTCCTGAACTTACAATTACAAGTTCAAAAGTTAAGGACAATAGGTCTTGAAGTCCCGAACTTAGACTAACAAGCTCAAAAGTTAAGGACAATAGGTCCTGAACTTAGGCTAAGAAGCCCAAAAATTAAGGACAATAGGTCCTGAGCTCCTGAGCTTAGACTAACAAGCTCAAAAGTTAAAGATACTTGGTCATGAACTTATAGTTACAAGTTCAAAAGTTAAGGACATGTAGTCCTGAAGTCCTGAAGTTAAGTTAAAAAGTTAAGGACATGTAGTCCTGAAGTCCTGAAGTTAAGTTCAAAAGTTAAGGACATGTAGTTCAAAGTCCTGAACTTAAAAGTTCCAAGTTCAAAAGTTAAAGATATGTAGTCCTGAAGTTAAGTTCAAAAGTTAAGGACATGAGCAGAAGGGTATTTTCATCCGGACAGTTAAAATTTATTAAAGCAGTGGTTAAAGACTAAAAATATTTTAAACAATGACTTAAAAGTAAATACATGTGTTATTAGTGGCTAACCGTGCACTTCCCCCTTCCTTTCATTAAGTCTTCGTGTTAGTCCAAACTCTTTTAACGTACCCAAATAAACTTTACGTGTGATTTCGTCAAACTCGGAATTAAAACTGACGGTGCAATCTTCTATGCAGAACGTACAACATGTCTATAGCAATTTACCAAATAATCCCTCTTTATTCACTTTCCTAATACTCCGGGAATCACTCAAATTTACACTTACCTATAAATAAATCAGTTAAAAAACCAAACTACAAAATCCTCCATTTCAGTTCAGATTTCTACGGAAAACCCAATACCCATCTCGAGAAAATCTTGCAGAAAAGATGGCTTCGGCAATGAGAATTGTTTTCGGGCTTCTTACACTTGTCACATGTGGAATGATTCTCGGTAAAAAGTTTCTTAAATCATTTTTAGCTACTAATTTTTATATGTGTGTGTATTTATGTGTTGAATTTGTGGTTGTTTGTTAATTCTTGAATTTTCTCATCCTGCATTTGCGGTTTTGATCATCATAATTATCATCACTGGTGTTTTTTGCTTTGGTTTGGCATTTAATCTGGACTAACCAAACACCCTATTTGGAAAAAGAAAGGAAAAAAATGGTGATTTTTATGTATATATTTTGTTTGGAAATGGAGAACTAAAAAAATTGAACTTTTGGGGTTGGAGTGGAGTGGGTGCTTGGTTTTGATCCTTGATGGTCATTCTTGCTTGTGATATCGCCTATGTTGCTCAATTTTTCAAAATTGACGGTGAGTGCGTGTCGGATCCTCAAATGTAGCTATTTTTGGAGGATCCTACAAGGGTGTGGCAACTATTTTGGAGCTGAGCAAAAACATGAAAAAGTTATGGTGATCTTTTTTCTTTCTTTTATTGAAATTAAGACATTAAAGTGGATTGGTGTGTTTTGATGGTGAGATAATTGGACTTTTTACTACAGTGTTGATTAATGAGGTGGGCGGGTTTTATACTTGATCGTCATGCTTTTCATGATCTCGAGGCTTATGGAAAAAGAGAAAAAAGAAAATGGCCAATGTTTGTTTAATAGTAGATTTTAGTGTGAACTGTTTGTGCAGGTGTGGTGGGACGGTTGAGTTCTTTATCACATTGTTGATTGTTGAGTTTGGTTGAGGTTATGGTATTGTGAGGATGTTATTGAATGGACTCACTTCACTTAAGCTAGGAAAATCAGTAGTTGTTCTCTAAAGCAAAAAAGGAAAAAAAGAAAAAAGAAAAAAGAAAAAAGAAAAAAGAAAAAAGAAAAAAGAAAAAAGAAAAAAAAGGTTACGGTCTTATTTTACAAAACTATGAATTTACAGAACTTTTATTGGTTTTTTTTGGGGGGGAGGGGGAGGGGGAGTTTAGTCTTGATTAGCTTTGTTGCGTTCTGATTTGGTTCAGGTTATGGCATAATAGGGATAAGGCAATTAGTATTATTTCCCTTGTGAAGCTAAGATGTCTTACAGTTAGTTCAGCGGGTTCTTTTAAGCTTTGATCATCTAAAGCGAAAGTTTCATAATTACACTAAATTAATTCTCTAATATAATCACCAGCACTTGTTGTGTTTATGAACACCCGTCGAGTAATATAATGTTCTTACTAAGTAGGGTGAAGTAATGCAAACTAAACCGGTGCTTTTGTGAGATGAATATCATCACTATCTCGTTTGGTACTATTTAGAGATACTTCCGGAGCTTACATGATGATCATAATTTCATTCTTTTCTTTTCATGGAATAATGACTCAGCATAACAAACTTTTCTATCATTAATCATTAATTTGATACAGAAAATGAGATTCCTAGACAAAAAAAATAAGCGCAATAGAGAAAATTAAAAAGGAAGTACTTTAAGAAACTTGTAGACATGAACCGTGAGATATTGGATAGTTTTTGGAAAAGATACCTGCTGTTTTCTTTTGTTTCGTTTTTCGGGTGGACGGACAAAAATGTCTCTGATTTGCTGTTCCTCTTAAAATGCTGGAAGAAGTAAAAGTTGTCTTTCTAGATCAGATGACTTTATATTAAAAGACCTAGTGGGGCTACACATTTTCTACAGGAGCATCCGAAGTGTTTACTATAAGATCCCGATCCTTGACCATCCCGTCGTAGTCTTATCCTTCAAAAGAATTTGTGGTTTTTCTTAAACTTTGGGTTTTCTCTGTTTTCCGTCTTGTATTCTGATCAAAGAATACATATTTTGACGTGGGTTCGAACCTTGCTGCAGACAAAAGCCTAGTATTTAAGTGGAGAAGGGTAGAGGGGCTGATCCATTATCCACTGAGTTCCAAACCGTGTGCCACTGGCCCTCGGGGATTTCTTGGTTATAAAAAAAATCGAATACATATTTTGAATTTTACTGATATGGACTTTTGGTTTTCCTGGTTGGATTTGTTGCTGAATGGAAACTGATTAGTTTCTGTCGTGTGATGTGCAGGAGCTTTGATTCAACTAGCATTTATTCATAGGATGGAGGACTCACTTGGTATCTTTTCTTGGTTTATAGTAGATATTTTAAAATGATTGTTTTTCTTTTATCTTATTTGGAGGGCTAAATACTTGCTCCATCATTCTGCTCATTTGTAGTTGCTGTGGTATCAAATAATCAAACCAGTACTCCATGTTCCACTGCATGCAATACCAAATAGTAATTATTATCAATGATCTTATTATATAAGGGCCACTATTGGTGGATCCTTTAACTAACTATTTGAACATTTTTGGCAGTTCAGCTTAGTGAAAGTAGGCAATACTCGCTCTAATTATTTTTTCTTTTGTAGTTGTGGTTTCTCCTTTTCAATCAGATTCCAGTGGATGCAATACAAAAGAATGTTTACTTAAGGTTCACTTTTGAGGGATTTAGTTCATATAGTAGCTATTTGGAAAATTTTGACATGTCATTTTGTGCTTAAGCGTGGTAAAATTAGGGAAGACTTTTATGAATTTGAGAGAAAACAAGTACTTTGTTGTTAATAGAATGTGGAAAAATTGGATTCACATGTTATATAAGATCTTTTTTTGCTTTCATTTTTTCCTTGTAATAAATTCCTTAAAATTATGAACCAAGGTGGTGTCAGAAGCATTTACAATATGTATATGACATATTCTCCTCTTTCTACTGGTCCTACCCAATTATCCATGCACAAAGGTATTTTCTCCCTCACTTGCTGTTCTATGCTACCAATTGATCTTCTGTTCCTCTAATTCCATATTGTGTAAAAGACGCGCAGTGGTGCTAATTTATAACTGCTCTCCTTCCCTTCTAATTTTTGGCCTCCTGCCCTCCTCTAGCATCCTACAAACTCACCGAGTGTTCTTGATAGCAACCCAACTAGTATTAAGTATTAACTATTAAATGCTGAGGAGATGAGATCCACTGTTGGATAGCCAACGTGCAATGCAACAAGAGAGGGTTATTGACTTATTGTCCTCTCAGCACTCTTGCACATATACCAACTCACCATAGTCCTTTCTCCTCCTTATATTATCAGCAATGAAATTCTGCTTCATGCCACACCTCCTTAAATTATCGGCTGTATGAGTTGTGTTTCATGACACACACCATGTGAAGAATGTAACATTTTTGGTGCCGTCACGCTCCATAATGCCTTCTACTCTTCAGTGTTACTGCCCCAACTTTTTTCGGTGAAAATCTTGTAGCCTACCCTCATCAAACCTTCCTATTGTCCTTCCCTTCTATTTTTACTATAGACTTTGAGAAGGGATTCCTGGGCCTTCTTCCACTTCCAATCCTGGATAACCTTTCTGAATCTTATGTCCCATGAAATTTTCTTTCCTGATTAACCAATGTTGTGCATCTCTCATACACCACAGCATGCCACAACAACAACAAATCCAGTGAAATCCCACAAGTGGGTTTGGGAAAGGTAGTGTGTACGCAGACTTACCCCTACCCTAGGAGGGTAGAGACGCTATTTCCGATAAACCTTTGACTCAAGAAAGACTGAAAGAGACAGTAGAAACAAGCAATATTAACAACAAGGGCCAGAAAGATAGTAAAGCAGACTAAGAGCCAGAAAATAGACGGAAGGAAGCAGTAGCATCAAGCATTGACCACAACAAGATACTAAGAAACCAACGCGGAAGGTAATTGGAAGACAACATGTAAAATTAGCAATCTAAGAACAAGAAAAACTACCAAACTAGCCCTAATATAGGACACATGCTTTTTCCATTTCAAAAAAGAAAAAAAGAACACTACCAAACTAGCCCTAATACCACTGGTACGGATCATAAATATGCTCGACTACCTACTAGCCTTCTACCCTAGTTCTCGATCTCCACACTCTCCTATCAAGAGCCATGTTCTCGGTAAGCTGAAGCCATGCATGTCCTGCCTAATCACCTCTCCCAAATACTTCTTTGGTCTCCCTTTACCTCTTCTCATACCCACCAAAACCAACCGCTCACACCTCTTTACTGGGGCATCTGAGCTTCTCCTCTTCACATGCCCGAACCATCTAAGCGTCGCTTCCCGTATCTTTTCCTCCTCAGGGGAGACGCCCACATTTACCCGTATATCCATACACCATAGCATGCATCTGTTGAAATCATACGTCTCCCCACACTATACGCCTCCCAAAATGTGCTCTATTGCCATTCTGGATGATGTAACCGACAAACCTTGTGAACTCACTCCTTCTTCATGTTCCCATTCCATAAACCTTCTAAACTCACGAAAATGCTTTCTTTTGGTTTTATAAGTATCAAGTTTACCAGATTCAAGGAAACAACCATTCCTTTTTTTACCTTGGATCAGGAACAGGGGTAGTTGTCTTCTCGCATCGTTACTGCTTTGCTTGTCCAACTACAGTAAGCAGGAATGGTGTTACTTACTTTCTTTGGCTTATTCTGCTTCTATTCAAGCTTCTGATATTATGTTTATCTTTGAAAGTACTTTATCAAAAACAATAGCTTTCAACACAGTAAGATCTTTGAGTCTAAGCACTTCATATTCTGCTACAATCCAGCTGTTAATTGTGATCACTGCTTGAGATGTTGTTAGTATTCCATTGAAATTTTCCTCTTTACCTAATAGAATTTTGTGTAAGTGACTTCCTGTACCGGGCTGCCCTTTTTGACTTCCTGCAGACAGAGAATCGTCTTTTAGTGGAAAGCATGCAAGTTTAGCTGGCAACAAACATCCGTTAGCAAGAGGTTTGTGTTGTTTTTTGACTGTTTTTTGCTCTGCAATATACTTTATGTTGTTCAGCATGAGTTGGGCTCTTTGCTCGCGTAGGCGCTGCTTCAGACTAGGCACTGAGAATCTAAGGCATACTTCCCACAGTCTTTTTCTTGAAGAGCGTGGTACTAAACAATAAGTATAGTTGGCAAAATGATCTAATTAGGAAAATATTGTGAGTAAATGTGTTTAAAAATTAGAATAGGAGCTTTCTAATTTAATATAAGAAAAGTAGTTACTTAACTTAAATTAGAAACTTAAAACTGCATCGTTGCATCTGAATAAAAAATTTAAAATAATTTTTGAACTTGATTTATATACTATTTACTTCTTACATTTCAAATATTTTCTCTTCAATTCCTTTATCGATTTTTTTGAGTTAAAAATTCTCTGTGTGTGTGTGTGTTTATGTTAGGATATATGTATTTTCATTTGCCTTTTCACTAAAACAAGCTCGCACTCAATTGCACTTTGGGTTAATGCTCCCACAAGCTCAACTTTTTTGCACTTCCGCCTTTGGCAACATTGCGTTTAGATTTTACATTTGACCATGACCTAAGTTTTGTCTTGCAAACTCATATACATACCTACATTGGTAGAGTAATATAGTTGAGTTCTGTATGATCTGATCTTGCATGTAACTGCTGTGTTCGAGAAGAAAAAGGAAAACAGTTGTCCTTCATTCCACCTGTAACTAAATGCCACTTCTACTTTGATACAAAAGTCTTCAGAAGACTTTGCACTAACTTATCCTTGATTGGTCGATCCCCCTCAAAAGAGATGGCGTGACAGAATAATAATCAGGTCAAACATGAGTTAGTTTATGGATGTCCACGTATCTTCTTTTATATTGTGTCTGGAGACATAAGAATAGCCTAAGCAGTAGTATAGTGTTGGTTGGCTTCAGTCACTTAAGGACTATGTTGGACTGTTGATTACTTGGGCATTAGCAGTAATCAATTGGTAATTTCCAGGAAATCGTCTTGGTTTCATTACTTTAGTGATGGTTGGGTCATGTAATGAGTATGTTGGACTGTTGATTGTCTTAGGCAGTAATACTAACCAATTGGTAATTCAAGGGAGAGTAAGCATCTTAATTTCCTTATTTTCTTTAATATCTGAATAACTATCATTACAGCAAAATCTTTTTGTCCACTTTCCCTCTGAGATTTAGCATGAGCACATGGTGTACTTCCCTGATATCCTGATTTTTCTGCCCTTTTTTCTCAGGAATCTCTCATTGGGGTTATGACAAAGAAGCTGTAGCACTACGTATAGGATATGTAAGTCCAAAGTTATGTTTCATTTTGAAAAATTAACTTAAATAGCCCCTACCCAAGCGCTTAAACTTAAAATAGTCGATGGATGTATAATATATGTATAATTCACGTATAATATGTGTATAAACATTGAATAATCTTTGTGTGCTGTCTAGAAAAAGTAAATAATGAATTCAACCGGCTATTTGTGTAAAGATCCCTTTCATTTTTTGGAAAAACCTCTCTTTCTCAACTCCAGGCCATCCACTGTATGCTTTATAGTAGAAGGTACTGGTGAATTCGGCTGGTAGACATGTCTTGCCTACCAGTGCAGTTTCCACATTCAAGAAAAGTCTTTCTACTATATATATAGCAAGAGGAAGAACTACCAGTGCTACTTGTTGAGATAGCTCATAGATGTGAAGTTTAAATATTAGACTGTAGATATCAATCAGTTGAAAGATCCGAACTTTATAGATGTATGTGGTGAAACTAATACTGTGCTGTATTATATCTAACTTTTCAAGAGTAAACCATATTTCTCTATGCAGTTAGACGATGAAAGTAATATAATGTTCCAATGAGTTCTCCTTGTGCTAGTAGACCATAAACTTGTCTACCTTCCGGTCTTTCTAGTATCCATGCTAGTCAAGCAGGTTCTTATTTTGGCACTGGAGAGGAGTTTTGTGTACGTAAATGTACAAGTAGTAGATCTTATGGTGGAATGTTGATCAGGTAAGCCCTTGGGGAAATGGAAAACGTGTAGTTTTCTGATCTCCAACAATACCTGTTATCGGAAACAACCAACCCATTTTCTCATGGAACTGATTTCTTATTCTATCTTATGTTCTGACAAATAAAGCCTACTTGGTTCGGAAGTGCCAGACCGGGACCCCCTAGAATCACTTTTGGGCAGAGAGAAAGTCATGTTCATTTATATCCGTGCCCCCCCTTTTTTTGAGCAAATGAATGGTATTCGCTGAAATGAATTAATAAATAGAGAATCTCTTTTGTTATTCTTGTAGACTTGCATAAAAAAGTCAAATTTTCTTCATTTGAGAACTAGGAGAGCACGCCTTAACCAAAATCCATGCATTTCTGGACTATGTTATCCTGTAACTTAAACTGAGCAGCTGCATGAATATCATTACTGCTAGCTTCTGCTTTGCTATTTTAATTATGTCAATTTCTCATACTGCTCGTGCAGGTGAAGCCTGAAATTATTAGCTGGAAACCAAGAATTATATTATTTCACAACTTCTTAAGTGCAGAGGTATGCCAGTTTTATATTTTTCTTCTTCATTTCTACCACTGCATATCTCTGTCTGTTAACTTGGCCTCTGTGTGTAATACGGCTACTGTATCTTTGATGAGATTAAAGTTTTGGTTGGTAATATATTGGATTGTAAAATGTTTAACAGTTCTGTTGTGGTCTCTGCTCCAATTTTACCATGAAATGTACATACATACATATTGTGTATGTGTATATATATACATATTTATACATATGAACCAGGAGGTCACGGGTTCGAGCTGTGGAAATAGCCTCTTGCAGAAATGCAGGGTAAGGCTGCGTACAATAGACCCTTGTGGTCCGGCCCTTCCTCGGAATAGCGGGAGCTTAATGCATCGGGCTGTCCTTCTATATGTATGTATAGAGAGAGAGAACTGCTATCAACGTATCTTTTTAAGGAAATTGGTCTTCTAGCTAATATTTGCTTGAGGTTTGATTCCCTATTTACTAAATACTGTCAAAGTCATTAATACCTAAAAAGTGAATTTTTTTTAGTCAATTTAGGGTTACNAAAGTCATTAATACCTAAAAAGTGAAAATTTTAAAGTCAATTTAGGGTTACTGTAATGGGTGACAAATTTCGTTATGCTTAAATTGCTCTTGCGCATGGTTTTCTTCCTGCTACAGTATCAAGTTTCATGCTCGAATGCGAAATAAAAGAAAAAATGTGTAAAACGTTAATTAGAGTGCTTGATACGAATTTGAATGGACGCCAGGGAGGGTGGTTGAAGACTGGAAGAACAATAAATCTTAAATCTTGATATTTTGGACATGATCAAATTTTAAATTGTTTGCAAAATCGTGTTGGATTTGTTAATTTTAAAAGCATCATGTGTTTGTGATGATAATTTGGGAATTTAATATCTATTGCCTTCACAGGAATGTGATTATCTTAGATCGGTTGCCATGCCCCGTCTTCATGTTTCAACTGTTGTAGATGCAAAAACTGGAAAGGTATGCACACTATGCAAATGATTCTCTGACATTCAGCATCTACTACGATTTTTCTTCTGATGAGTTCAAATTTTTTCCACACCCTGTTGTGCTCATCTATTGTTGAAATGTGCTTGTGAGTTACCACTAGTTCTTAATAGCAAATTAGTTTTGCCTATACAAGTACTTCTGGTTATAGTTCAAGTTACAGCTACTGCTTTGAATTTTGCCTCTAGAAGAGCACTTTCAAATGCCACCTCACCTTTTAGTTCATCTGACAGTTCTACTCATATTCTTCATTTGACATGGAGAAATCACATACAAAACAGCCTGGAGGTTACAGAGGGTTGTTTCTTATACATTAATCTCATACCAACAAGGACATAATTTCTAGCTAAGCCTCACATTTTAATTTCCAGCATAATTAAGTTAGTCTTTCTACTGGGAAAGTTGATATATGTGCTAAAATATATGCAAATTTTATCAATTCTGTATGCTTGAGAGGTTTTCGTATAAGTCTTAACATTTGGTATACACATCTTAACATTCAGTAGGGAATGATGTGTATTCATATCTTAACATTCAGATGTATATTCAGATTCAAACGTTTTAATCTTAGTACACATATTAATATTCAGATGTGTATTCAGATTCAGACATCTTAATCTTAATAAAAACAAATGAGGCCTTAGTCTCACTACGGTCGTTTGGTTACTAACTTAAGGATACTAAGTCGGGGATAGAATATGGGATTGTATTTATTCCATGTTTTGTTATGAGTATTAGCTAATAGTGAGATAAATTTTATGTCAAAAATGGTGGGATTAGCTATCTCATATAGAAGGTGGGATAGCCAGTGTTGTGAAGAGCGTGAAGCGAGAAGCGAAGCGCTCGTTTTTTTGAAGTGAAGCGGAATTAAGAAAAATATTAAAATAAACATTGCATAGACAACACATGTTACACATGTAACTACATACAACACATGTAACTGCCAATACTAAAAGAATTGACAGTGAGACTAGGAACAAAAGATGAAAAACTGAAGGAAAACAAAAATTTGGCTGCATTTCGTTGCATTTTTAAGGACTGAAACGAAAATAGGAAGAAGAAGAAGAGAATGAGAAAAAGAAGAAGAAGAAGAAGCAGCAGCAGCGGATGCTTCTCGCTTTTTTGGCAAAAGCGGACGCTTCAACCTACCTACTACGCTTCACCCTACAGAAGCGACATAGTGGCCGCCTCGCTTCGCTTCAGCGCTTTAGCGCTTTTCACAACACTGGGGATAGCTAAGCTGGGATATCCTTTTCTATCCCACCTTGTAACCAAATGACCCCTAAGTATTAAGATTCATTCTCATGGTTTCTAATATTATGATGTTGTTTTCTAAAATCTCTTGAGATCTCTAAAGAGTGGAGACAAAAATAAACCCAATTATTTAGAAAAGAGCCGATAAACATTTAGAAACCTATAAACAAATAACTTGGTATGCATTTGGGTGATATTTTCCTTTTTTATTCTATTTTTGGCGTTCAGAAAATTGAAGAGCAACGTAAACCTAAGTGGAAGTGTGTATGACGGGGAATAAAGTAAAAAACATTTTTTATTGGTGAAAGAATAGTCCTCATACGGGACATGTAAGACTATTTCTCAATCAGGGGCTTGATTAGTGTTTTTTTCTTCTTTTGATTGTTAAGCTTTCTTAGCAAATTATGATGGAAAAGTTGGGCACCCAAGGGTTTGGTCTAGAGGTCAAACTGGGTGCATACCTTGGAGACCAAAATTCAAATCCTAGTAGAGACAAAAAACGCTAGGTAATATCTTTCCATCTATGCTGGTGAGAGGTAACTGGTACCCAGTGGAATAGTCGAGGTGCGTATAAGCTGGCCTTGACACCACCATTATATAAAAAGGGGAAAAAATTGGAGGTATAGTGTGGCTTCATGCTGAGGTGTAGTACTATAATGATGCATGCTGGAAGAAGGTAATCAAAGAAAAATATGGTGCATTGGGAGTAAAATGTGGGAGAACTCGAGCTCAAATATGTGGTTCCACAGTAGGTAATGGCGAACACATCAGTTTTTCGCATGATAAATGGTTATGAAGCTGCACTTTGAAAGGAATACCTGAATTATTTCAGTTTGTAAGACATCCTCAGGCTACACATGCAGTTTACAGATGCAACTCCTGGAACATTGTATTTTGGAGAAGCTGCTAAGACTAGGAAACAAACAGCATGGTCGAGTTATTTACTAAGCTGGAGAATGTAAGACTTCATCTCAGGTGAAGGACAGGTTGAAATGGGGCAATAGTGAAAATGGATAGTTCACTGTGAAAGCATGTTATAGCAATCATTACAGGAACAACAAGATTGTTGAACATTGGCTCCATAATTTGGAAAACAAGTCCCAAAAAAGGTAGCTCGTTTCAGTCAGATAGCATTTCTTGAAGCCTGCCTTACAGAGGACAATCTTAAGAAGACAGTTATTCACCCATATTATCCATTAAAAAATAGGTCGGATAACTAACGTTTTAAAAACGGGTCAAATATGTATAAGAACCATATTATCTACTTAGAAAATGGATAACCAATAGATAACTAATGGGTTTAACTTTTATATTTGTAAAGCCTCAAATTGGGGGTTCCTCAAGTTTGGGAGACTAGGAATTCTCCCAAAAATGATCATATTCAAGAAGCCATCATATGGATATATGTTGTTGTTGTTGTGTGTTACCCGTTTTCGACCCGCCCATATCCACCCCGCCTCGCCCGCTTGCCACCCCTATATATGTTGCATGAAACAAGCTGAAGATTGTAATCACCTCTTTCTTCACTGCTCTATAACAAAGAATATGTGGCATATGTTTTTGTGTCTTTTAGGGGTATGTTGGTTAATGCCCTGAGATGCCTCAATTAGTTAGGGACAATAGATAGCTGGAAATCCATCATTGGTATTTGGCAAATGGTCCCATCTGAGGAATTACACATGTTCTGATGGAATATCAACTCCCAGCCACTCCTTAAAGGCATAGTTGTCTGATGAGCCTTTTCTGATTGTGCAACAACAACAACCACCTAGTATAATTCCACAAGTGGGGTTTGGGGAGGGTAGGATGTACGCAGCCTTATCCCTACCCTGGAAGAGCAGAGAGACTGTTTCTGATAGACCCTCGGCTAAAGAAGGTGAAAGAAGCCCTGATAGCAAGTAATAGCAAGACAAATAATTAGAAAACTAAATCGACGATAGCAACAGAGTATATGAAAGAGGTATCGATAACAAGTAATAGCAAGACAATATATTTAGAAAACTAAATCCAAGGCAACAAACGAAAATATGAACGAAATATTGCTAGCAAACTACGGAATTACCGATGGGAAGTAATAACGGAACAAGACATGCGAATATAGCAAACTAAGGAAAAAAGGGTACCGTACTAGCACTAATACTATCGAACTAGAGAAGACAAAGGTAAACACACGACTACCTACTAACCTTCTACCCTAATCTTCAACCTCCACACCCTTCTATCTAGGGTCATGTCTTCGGTTAACTCAAGCTGCACCATGTCCCGTCTGATCACCTCTCCTCAAGACTTTTTTGGCCTACCTCTACCCCTCCTCTCACCTCCCAAGACCAACCTCTCATATCTCCTGACTGGGGCATCTGTGCTTCTCCTCTTAACATGCTCGAATCATCTCAACCTCGCCTCATGCATCTTTGCCTCCACAGGGGCCACTCCCACCTTGTCCCGAATAACTTCATTCCTAATTCTATCCAACCTAGTATGCCCACACATCCATCTCAACATCTTCATTTTCGCTATTTTCATCTGCCGGACAGTTTTTGACTGACCAATACTCTGTCCCATACAACATAGTCGGTCTAACCACTACCTTGTAGAACTTACCCTTAAGTCTCAACGGCACACACAAGACACCGGAAGCGAGCCTCCACTTCATCCACCCTGCCCCGATACGGTGTGTGACATCCTCATCTATCTCCCCATCCTTCTGAATTATAGACCCCAGATCCTTTTTTTTTTTAGAAGGTAACATATTTGTATATTAGTATATAGACTTCACTAAAATTGTGAAGTCACCTATAATTACAAAAGGGAGTGCCCAAAAAAAGAAAACACTTATAATCCTTGGTCTTCTCACAAGGAATCTAGCACATCAAAAATGGATTCATGATCCTCCCAAAACTTTCCCTTACACCAAAAATAGAAAAGAGCTAGACATTTCATCTTCATCTTCTGGATGTTACTAGACTTGTCTTCAAAACATCTCTGATTTCTCTCTTTCCAAATTGTCCACAATATGCAGGCTGGGACAATTCTTCATCTCTCTTTATGACTAGAAAGATTACCCTCTTTATTCCAGCAAGCTAGAATATCAAGTAATCTTCCCGGCATTGCCCATAAAATTCCCCTTAGGCTGATGAAGATTCTCCATATTTCTACAGTGAACTTGCAATGCAAAAAGAGATGACTAATTGTCTCTGCCTCCTCTCCACATAAGTAAAATCCAAAGCACAAGTGGAAACCTCTCTTGATTAAGTTATCTTGTGTTAGAACCGCTTCTTTTGCTAGTAACCATGTAAAACAAGCAACTTTGTAAGGGATTTTTACTTTCCATATCATCTTCTATGGCCAACATCCAATCTGATTATTAGAAAGGTTGAATTCCTTATAAGCAGGCTTAACAGAAAATTTCTCGTGCCTATTCCCTTGCCATATCATGTGGTCTTGAGTAGAGTTGATTCCACTGAATAGCTTCAAAGTATTGTAAAACTCTATTACTCTGTCAATCTCCCAGTCATTTAGTAGTCTTCTGAAGGTAAGATTCTAACCTTGATAGACCCCACATACTTGAAACTCTCTCTCCTGGGAATGACTTGCGTATCGAGCCTCACATCCCCGTCCGCCTCCTGGGTAACGCCGCTGAACTTGCACTCCAAGTATTCTGTCTTGGTCCTGCTCAACTTGAAACCCTTAGACTCCGGAGTGTGTCTCCAGACCTCCAGCCTCTTGTTAACGCCACCTCGCGTCTCATCAATCAGGACTATGTCATCCGCAAATAACAAACACCAAGGCACCTCCCCTTGAATGTGTCACGTCAAAGAATCCATCGCCAGGGAAAACAATAACGAGCTAACTGCTGATCCCTGATGCAACCCCATCTCAACCGGAAAGTAGTCCGAGTCTCCTTCTGCTGTCCTAACCCGTATCTTAGCTCCATCATACATGACCTGAATCACTCTAATATACGCTACAGACACTCCTCTAGCCTTCAAATATCTCCATAGAACCTTCTCTCGGGACTTTGTCATAGGCTTTCTCTAAGTCAATGAACACCATATGCAAATCCTTCTTCACCGCCCTAATACTGCTCCACCAATCTCCTCACAATGTGAATGACCTCAGTAGTCGACCGTCCCGGCATGAAACCAAACTGGTTCTCGGAAATGGACACACTCCTCAACCTCCCTTCAATCACCCTCTCCCACACTTTTATTGTGTGGCTTAACAACTTGATACCCCTATAGTTATTGCAGTTTTGGACATCCCCCTTGTTCTTATATAACGGTATCATCGTACTCCGCCTCCACTCTTCGGGCATCTTCTTCGCCCTTGTCCTAAAAATGACGTTAAACAACCTAGCAAGCCATTCCAAGCCCTCCTTACCCACGCTCTTCCAGAATTCCACCGGGATCTCGTCTTGCCCAGTCGCTCTACCCCTACTCATCCTGTGCATAACCCCTACAACCTCCGCCACTCGTATGTGTGTACAGTACCCAAAGCTGCCGCTCCGAGTACTCCAACTCCCCCAGCACAATGCTCCTATCTCCCTCTTCATTCAAGAGTTTATGGAAGTAAGACTGCTATCTCTGCGTAATCTGTGCTCCCTCCAATAAAACTCTACCCTCCTTGTCTTTTATGCACCTTACTTGGTCCAGATCCCGGGCCTTCCGCTCCCTCACATTCGCCAGCCTGTACAACTTCTTGTCCCCGCCTTTATCTTCAATTTCTTCGTATAAACGACTAAATGCCGCGGTCTTAGCCGTAGTAACCGCCAACTTCGCCTCCTTCCTAGCCTTCTTATACCCCTCCCTGTTAGCACTCTTTTGCCCCTCGCTTATACTCTCTACTAGCTTCAGATATGCCGCTTTCTTGGCTTCCACTTTCCCTTGAACCTCTTCATTCCACCACCAGTTCCCTTTATGGCCATCAGAAAAATCCTTCGAGACCCCTAACACCTCTCTCGGCACCTCTCTAATACAACTTGATGTCATAGACCACATACAACTCGTGTCCCCGCTACTCCTCCAGGCCCCCATAGCCAGCAACTTCTCCCCCAACTCCTGGGCCTTGTCCTTAGTCAATGCACCCCCACCTGACCCTAGGTATACCAGACATAGCCCTCTTCTTCCTCGTCCACCTGATCTCTAAGTCCATAATCAAAAGCATATGATGGGTCGTAAGGTTCTCACTCGGGATGACCTTGCAATCCGTGCATAAACCTCTATCACATTTCCGGAGAAGTAGATAATCAATCTGGGTCTTGGCCACCGTACTCCGAAAAGTTATAAGGTGCTCCGCCTTCTTCGGGTAACACGAGTTAGCGTTCACCAGCTCAAAGCTTTAGCGTACTCCAACAACGAAGTACCTCCTCCGTTTCTATCTCCAAATCCGAAGCCACCATGCATGCCGTCATATCCCCAGGCAACCTCCCAATGTGGCCGTTAAAATCACCCCCTATAATAAGCTTATCGGTGGACGGTATACCCCGCACCAACCCATCCAAATCTTTCCCAGAAGCGTCTTTTAACCTCCTCGTCCAAACCCACCTAAGGCGCGTAAGCACTAACTACATTCAGAGTATACCCTCCCACGACTATCTTAATGGCCATCAACCTGTCATTCACCCACTTAACCTCAACTACTAGCTCCCTTAGATCCTTATCAACTAAAATGCCTATCTCGTTCTTCCCTCTCACCCTCCCTGAATATCACAACTTAAACCCATCAGCCTCCCGAGCCCTGTTCCCCACCCATCTAGTCTTCTGAACACAAGCTATGTTAATCTTCCTCTTATGGAGAATCTTTGCTAACTCTATAGACTTCCCCGTTAGAGTCCCTATGTTCCATGACCCCACTCTCAACCTAGAAGGTGCCTTACCCCCTTGCCACCCTTACCCTCTACCCCCCGCTCCCCCCGAAGACATGCCCTCACTCTATCATAGCTCGGCGTGGCCACTAGACCAACACAAAGCTACAAAAAGAATAGACTAAAAAGGAATAGACTAAACAGAAACCTACAGGTACACAAGGTGCTAATAAGGGATACAACCAAGCAGAGACAAACTATGTATTAGCTATAACACTAAAGTAATAGACACAGATAGATATAAGCAAACAAGTCTGAAAATGTTGGTTTATGTTTAGTTAACAATGACATGCTGAAAATGTTGGTTTATGTTTAGT